GGTTGGTCAACTTCTGTTGTACTTTATTTGCAGATGATGTTGCAAAGTGTAAACTGGCAGCCTATAAAGACCTGTATAAACCGAAAGACAGGGTCCAGAGCTTTAAGTGTTAACTCCTCTGGGCCTGCTGGCGTAATAAATCTGAGTTCTCCAACTCTCCGAGTGATGCTTGGTCTCTCGCCCGGATCCAGGTTGCTGTCACAACTGAGCTGTAACACATTTTTTCACAACACTTTCCCTTCCTTTGACTGTGGGCTGGACTTAGTGGCTCACTTCTAACAAATAGGATCCAGTAGAAGTGATGGTATGACTTAAACAGTAGGTCATAAAACACATCACAGATTCCATCTTAGCCAGTCTCTCTGTTGAATCATTCTCTCCAAAGGAAACAAACAGCCATGTCATGAGGACACTCTGGAGACACATGGTAAAGAACCGAGGTCTCTGGCCAATAGTGAGTTAGTCCTCTTGGAAGCAGATCCCCCAGCTCCAGTCAAGTCACAGATGACTGTAGCCCTTGGCTATTATCCTGACCTCAAACTCAAAAGACACCCTAAGCTAGAACTCCCCAGAAAGGCTGCTTCCCAACTCCTAGCCACAGGTGTAAATATCTGTTGTTTTAAGCCACTAAGTTTTGAGGGTAATCTGTTATGCCATAATAGATAACTCCTAAAATAAATTAACAAAACTGGAAAGAGGAGAAGAGATACTATCTTGAGAAATCCACAGTGTCCACAGTGTCTGGTTGCTTCAGTTAATGAAAGTTCAATATAAAGATATACATGCTGAGAAACTCGGGAAATCCAAACTAGGTTTTAAGGAACAACAGGAACTTAAAAGTCCCTCTATATTCAAGCAGCTTCTAGGATTCTCAGCATCAGGGACTCAGGGATCTTAAGTTGCAGGCTGCTCCAAAGTTAACTCAAGAAATACTTGTTCCATTTTCCTCTTCCTAGAGACCAGCCATCTCACAACCTATTCTGTATCTTTTGTTGTTCTTAATCTCATAATCTCCATTCCCCCCTTCCAGTTTGTGCCTCCCCTGAAGGTTTCTGAGACACTCTCACTGCTCTGCAAAGTGTAATCTGTGGACCAGCATTCATCAGTTTCACCAGGGAGCATGTTAAAATGCAAAACTTGGGGCCCCACCTCAGACCTACTTAATCAGAATAAGCATTTAAGTTTGAGAGAAGCTGCTCTACATCACAACGATTAGGTGGAACCTCCCACTACTTACTGCAGTGGTTCTCAAATTTTGATGCATCTTGTAATTAAAATCTGCCAGCCTCCCTCACTGAGACATTCTGATTTGTTGTGTATGAGTAAGACTGACCAATGGAAGTTTTAGAAGCTTCCAGGGGATTCTAATGTCCAATAAAGCTTGGTAACTATTAGCATGCAACCTTCTTTTCTTAATATTTCCCAATTAAATTTCACAAAAGAGAGCATGTGATTAACTGTCTAATCTTTTAATACAAAGGCATAGGCATTTAACCATTCAGTTGTGGAGGAAAGACTGAGTATTGCAGGATTACATGACCCAAAACATAACCACTGCTGCTTAGCAAGGCTGCAGGGGAATGCAGTTTTCAGTAGTGCAGTGTTTCTTAATCTTGGCTACACATTAGAATAATCTAGGGAGTTTTAATAGCTCACGTCCTAAACTCCACAGAACAACTCACTCAGAATCTCTGGGTTGGATCCAGGCAACAATGGTGTTAATCCTCCCAAATGATACCGATTTGCAGCCAATATTGAAAAGCACTTAATAGGTATAGCAATGGACATGTCTATATAAACAGTATTCCAAACTAAATACAAATCTAAATTCTGTTGGCTTTAAAATCATGGCTATTTATTTTTGACCCAATCTAAAATTAGTTGAGTGAACAAAAGCATCATGTAAGGAAAAGAACATAGGTTTTTGAATCAGAGAGACCTGGGGTTTAACCCAGTAATGGAGTGGATTTGGGCAAGTTTTTAATCTTGATAAACTTCAGTTTTCTCATCCATAAAATGGGGGTAAAACTGACTAACTCAAAGGATTATAAGAATAAATGTTATAATGTATGTGAAATACTTTAGACATTATAGGTAATAAAATGTTATTTACTTTCTCTTCCATGTATGGGGGGATATTTTCTTTTAAAAAGTGTAGTTCTGTGGATTATTGGGTGTAAACCTCACACCAACCCCTTGGGACTGTTGTTTTTCCAGTTTGACAGATAAGAAAACTGAAACTTAAAAAAAAAAAAAAGGTTAAATAATGAGTAATAAGCTGAGATTCAAACACAGTTACATAACCCCAAAGCCCAGATTCTTAACCATTCCATTGTACCACCTCTCTAAAACAGCTATCACCTTCCTGGTTCATGAAAAACAAACGGTGGTATGCATACGGGGCGGGGGGCAGGGGGAGTGGGAAATGAGGCTCAGGGAAGGGGGAGAGGAATGTCTGTGGTGATGCGCCCTGGCACACAGGCTACCAGCATCCTGGTAATTGTTCTGCTCTTTTTCTTCCCTCAGGGCAAGCTGTCAATTGCAGACCTTCCAATCCCATCCTAGAAGGTCACAATGCAATTCTTCAAAGGTGGTACTGTCAGTATACTTTTGAAAAATCACCAGAATGTGCTTATTTTTTTCATACACAATTCCTGCCTACACAAGCATAACATAGTCTGTACTTTCATCAGCTAAGGAATGGAAGAGACACAAACCTATAAATAACTATTTCCAATTAACCTGCTTCCTGTGCTCTTCCTGTCTTTCAATTTGATTCAAGTTCTCTTTCCTTCAGAAGCCAATTACAATTGTCACTTGGTTTTTTTCAGGGTTTTTTTGTTTGTTTTCTTGTTTATACTGCTTCTTCTGTCTTGTAGTTAATTCCTGCAGTCGCCCTTGGCAAATTCATTAGCCAGAATGGTTTTCAATTTGACTAAATTTAATTTATAAATCTTTGCATCTTTTCAACACACATCCCTGAAAAACCCTTTAGTTTAAGACAGATGCAGAAAAGATGTCTCTCAACACCTGGAACTAACACACTGTTGTAGATCAACTAGACTTCAACTTTAAAAAGTGAGTATGGACAACCATGGATGTCTGTATTTAATATTGATTCAATTAGCATTTTTTCAATTAGCATTAGTGATTTAAAAAAAGACTCAAATATAGATTTAAGATTCAGAATTGGAGCAGGCCCAAGTCCTAAGTTTAATTTAAGTTAAAGTTTGTCCTTGGCATACTTCACTTACTCTCTTTAGTTTCCAGGACCTCTCATTATTCAGATGTTTTCTTATTTCTCTTTCCCTATCAAAGTGTAACCATCCCATATTAAAGTCCCTTAGTTTGCTGCTAAAGAACAATTGTCTTCTCTCTTTTCTACATTATTCTCTCAATTGGATCATTCTCACTGGCATACAAGCATATTCAAATATTTCACATCTTTTTAAAAAAATCTTCCTTGAGACCACATCACCTTAAAGCTACTATCCCATTTTTGGCACCCTCTACAATAAAATCAGTTTAGAGTTGTCCATAGTCATTCTCAACTTCCTCACTATCTAGTCTCCTCTGTACTATGTTCAGTTTTTCAATAAATTCAAACCTTTTCTAAAAAATAATTCGTTTTAAAGTTTTGTTTTGTTTTTTTTTAAAGAAAAAAGAAAGACAAACCTGGGGAAGTTATAAACTTTCTGAGAAGGCAGTGGATGGCTC